TTTTTGAACCCAATTTATTTCTCTCTTGCTCATTCAGAACGTGCTTGGCATAATCTTAAAGTTTTTTGATCGCTACTTTCTTATATTTAATTAAATTGTGGAATAGATATTTTTACTTAAATGTATATAAGCGAGTTGTAAAATTTATAGTACTTCTACTAGTGAAAGTTGGAAATAATTAAGTTACTTAATTTGAGAGTAAAAGTACTAACAGAATTTAAGAGAAGTAATAACGATGGTTATTAATGCGGGACGATACCAAGAGAAGATCCAAAATCAATTCGGAAAGGAAAGAAATAAGATAAACATTATTTCCTACTAGGAAACATGTGTTTTAACTCTACATTTTCTAGTTGTTTTTATCTTTTTTAGGTATAATTGCGATATGACTTCTACCTTTTATTTAATTAGGACTATAGTTTCTTTATTGGTTAGAGTATGAGTTTTAATTTGATTAGAATTTATTAGTTTCTTTATTTTAGGCTCCTTATTTAGTAAGATTATGAGATAATTTTGCCTATATATAAAGGCTTTGTACACTTTTTCAAAATTCAGTTTCTTTATTCGATTTTTGATTAATAAATTATTTTTGTTTTTCAATTATTGGTGGATTCTAAATAATTATCATTTCCATTCGAGCGAAATTCGAGCAAAAACCCATTCATGTGTTACGAACTAGATAATTTTATTTTATCCATGTTTTCGTCCTGCGTCAAGTGGTATCAGAGTCAAATTTTCCATCTCTACATCTTTAATTCATAACATGGGCGACGTACCAATTATTAGGACAGATTTAGATGCAACAAATTGGTGGATTAACGAGCGATTTGACAATCTTACTATTCAGATTAGAAAGATTCATCAACTGCTTCTGCGAAGTGTTAGAAACAATGGGCAAAAAGAACAACAAGCAATCAATAATAAACGAATTACTGAGCCTGTTTTTCGAAGAGAAAAATAACAAGAGACTTGTAGTAGAAGAAAGCAAATCGGATGTCAGTGATAAGGAAAAGAAAGATGAAGAATATATGAATGAAATTTGTGGAGAAAAACAAGGAGATTTCGTATGTAATGTGGAGAAAGTCTTGTGCTCATCCAAGTAGGAAGATTTAACTCATCATGAAAAGATTTTTCAGGCTAATGATGTTATTTGAAGTCAGGCCACAGATAGTTGCAGTGGTGAGAATCTAATCATGAAGAAGCTGATGCATCATCTGAATCTATCAAACGAACCACATTCAGATCCATATCCAATTTAACCGATTGAGAAGGGTTCGTATATTCAGCTGACTCAAATTTGTAAGATATCTTTGTCAATTGAGATTCGTCACAAATTAGAAGTTATTTGTTGATTTTGTTCAATTGGATGGGAATCATATTCTATTGGATAGATCATGGCAAATTAATGTGGATGACATACATAAGGATAGAGTGAATGCCTACAAGTTCAAGTGGAAGGATAAAAGATTACAACAGGGAAGATACATAAAGCTTCTAAAGTGGAGCGGAGAGATTTTCCGACCATAAAAAATTCAATCAATGAGTTTTCCTTCGTTAAGCCTTTGTATCCTGATGACAACTCATGGTCGAGTTGTTTTGAAGTGGAAGGGAATAATGCGGGACAACACCAAGAGAAGATCCAAAATCAATTCGGAAGGAAATAAATAAGATAAACGTTATTTCCTACTAGGAAAATATGTTTTAACTCTACCTTTTCTAGTTGTCTTTATCTTTTTTAGGTATATTAATTGTGGTAGGGCTTTTATTTTTTTATCTAATTAGGAATATAGTTTCTTTATTGGTTAGAATATGAGTTTTAATTAGATTAGAATTTATTAGTTCCTTTATTTTAGGCTCTTTATATTAGTAGGATTATGATACAATTTTGCCTATATATAAAGTCTTTGTACACTTTCATAACTTAGTTTCATCATTCGATTTTTGATTAATAAATTATTTCTGGTTTTCAATTATTGGTGGATTCCAAATAATTATCATGTCCGTTCGAGCAAAATTCGAGCAAACACCCATTTGTGTGTTACGAACTAGACAATTTTATTTTATCCACGTTTTCGTCCTGCGTCAGGTGGTAAATTAGAGTAATCAACTGATTGTTGATATTTGATAATGGACAATTGACCAAATTACCTTTTTTTTTTTTTTTGCATCAAAGTTTATTTTGGAGGTAAAAATTGTAATTTATCCAACTAGGCCCTGATCTGAGCCGCATTATTTGGAAAAAAATACATTTTAAAAAGTATTTTGACGTTATTTTAATCATATATTCTTCAATAAGATAATATTACAAGCAAATCCAAAATTTTTCCTTATTTTTTTACCATACATTTTCCATTAATTTACTATTTCAAAATACATTCTTTAAAAATAATATGGCTCAAAAACACACCTAATCTCTAAAAAAATTCAAATTATTTTCTTTTTAAATGGTCTGATTTGATTTCAAATTGCATTTAAAAGGAAAAGCATAATCAAACCATTTGAGAATGGTTTAACTTATTTCAAAACCACTATATTCACGAGTTCATCTAGTATCAGATCGACTATTTCAAGAATGAAGTTTTAGTTTGATTTTGGTTCAAATATTTTTTTTACAATCGTACTTTTTATAATTACACCACATCTATAATTACATATATGACCACAGTCCATTTTCAAAATATATCAAAAAATGAAAAGGGAGAAAAAATGAAAAAGAAAAAGAGGTACACCACAATGTGAGTGCATAGATGATGATTATACCTCCTCTTGATGTGTTTTTCCCAGCCAATCTTAGAAAAATACAAGTCATAGTCTTAAAAAAAGGGGAAAGGAAAGATGGCACCTTTATCATTCTATTTGAAGCCCATAACTGCTCACAAGGATATCGAAAGAATATCATGTGGGATAATAAAAAGACGAATTTTTATAGATTATCTTTCATATATTTTTTTTCTCTGACTTAACGAATGACAAGTAATGTGCCAATCCTTCATTTTTTATTTCAACTAACTTAGATGTACATCCTTAGTCGACATCAAGAATGACATTCCCGTTAGGTGGAAGAAATCTGGATAGTGATGGAATGGATACGTTTACGATCAATAGTGTGTATTGTTGCCACACAAAAGAGTGTCAAACTTGTTGTTAACCATGATGTATATGTAGTATGATTATTTTTATTTTGCCATTGCAACAAAAGCTTCAACTTGTTTAGGAAATTCAATCTAATAAATTTGATTTTGGTTTTTATGTATGGTGTAGTAAATATATGCTTTGGAATTTTTATTTGTGGTGTGAGTATAAATTAGGTTATTAATGTTAATTTATTTAAGATAATTTTTTTAAACAGGAAAAATACTTAAAAATATTATGTAAATAATAAAATTCGTGAAATTTAAGGTCCAAATTGAGTGGTAAGTGCTTGCTTGGGAGTTTTGAGGTATGAACGTTTTACCATTTCTGAGTGTTTATGAGAGGACCAATCAGAAGTGATTTTAATAAGGGGGTTCACAACAATCTAATTAGAACTTTATTGTCCATCGATTCTAAATTTTTTTAAAAGAATAAAATTATATATATATACCTTAGTAAAATTTTCAGTTTGATATTTTAGTTATAGGTAACTTTTTCACATATAAATATTTAACTACAAAGTTATATAAAATTAAATATTTATTTTAAATTTTAAGTTATTAGTGAATTTTTGTCTTATTAGTAGTAATTTAACTTCATAAAGAAATTTTTACAAAAAAGTGAATTTTCATCGTATGATTACTATTTTACTTTTACGTAATTTTTAAATTATTATATAACGTTTTTGCTTATAAATAATTTTTTAGTCAATATATTTTATTTACAAGTTAGTTTTGAAGAAAACATATTAATTGTAAATAATAAATTCATAAAGAATAGAATTAAAACAAGAATATGAAAAATGTCAAATTCAGCCAATTTGATGGGTTGAGAGAATAGACCAAAATGATACTAGATTAGGGATGTCGACGAGTCGAGTTGAGTCAGTTTACGAGTCAAAACTCGAGGCTCGAGTAAAATGAGTGAGCTTTTTTCGAGGCCTTTTGCTCGCTAAATTTTTTTTAGCTCGACTTGAGCTTTCTGCTCGCTTTTTTTTTTTTTTTTTCTTTTTTATTAATAAATAAACTGCTGGCTGCCTTTTAAAAGGCAGCATTTTGCTGCCTCAGGATCTTTTTTTTTTTTTTTTGGCCCCTGAGCCTGAGCCTCAAGTCGAATTGGCACCCCTATACTAGATCGATTTTGAACGATTTTTCAAAATTCGGGCCCAAAAAATTCAGTAACCATTGATTTCTCTAATACTCGGTGGAAAAAAAACAAAGAAAGCAGACCCTTAGACTTAACATGGTTGCATGTTAGTGTCATTCCTTTTACAAAAGAAAACTACGAACTGTAGACCTTTCTTTGAATCTTTTGTTCATAGAAAGCCCAAGTTGAAAAAATTAACATGTATTAATCTCTGAAATAAAATAAATTGATGTGAGACGAGAGGTAAAAAAAAGTTGAAGTGGATCTTAATTTATAAGGGTTAGAGTCTACAATTTTAGATAAATTACTATACAAATTATAATTTTTAGGTTATAAATTTTTTTACCCAGCCTATAAATTGTGAAAATAAAAAACTATATAAAAAATTTGGTTCAAAATTCGAGAACTTACAATTTTGGTTCAAGAAAACCAATAATCGATTTGGACCCAATTGATTCTCAGTTTCGATTCCTAATTTTTTTATTTTCTTTTGGGAATCGGACAGAAACAAAAGGTTTCGATTAGAATGAGGTTTGACTTCTGTTAAAATGTTCAGGCCTAAGTTGATCGATTAATTGTGTTACAAAACAAAGAAAAAAGCTTTGGTGAGGTCAGACAAATTTCAATTGATTAGGGACTCATTTGTAAACTATTGGGGATCGAATGAGCAAATTAAAAAAATCGGATGCCCACATAAAACCCTAAACCCTTGAATAAAAATCAATTGGAGAAATAATGGGAAAGATTTCGTACCTGAGGCTAAAGGGAAGCCAGAATCTTCGGCTGCGTCTCCTGTTATCGACGCTTTCATCTACTCCTATCCTCATTGAGGACATACGCGCCGATGCAACATGGCCTGGTATGCTTTCCCACGAGGTGTCACTCCTTCGCCTCCTCGAAAAGGTTTCCGACGATTGCCACGTCGAAATCAACGAAACAGGTATACTGTAACACTTTCTCTTGTGTGTATTAAGGAAAAAGCGTACCCCTAGTCAACAACCTATTTCTCTAGTAGCAAGTTGCAAGTTGCAAGTTGGTTCTCTAGTTTCATTGAGTTAACACACTTTGAATTGTCCCAATTTTTATTAAATTGTCCGTGCTTCTTTAATGAATAATTTTGTGAAGCTGAGTTTTGATAACCAACTTGGTTCAGTGCCTTGAAATTCGAAGCAAGACATGTTTTTAAATGAAGATTTGGACTATTTCCGCTAGTAGAAGTTGATTGTTTAATTGTAAATTGAAGGTGAGGTTGGGATCAACTTGTTCCTTGGGGACCAATTTGCTAGTAAGGCAATAGGTTGAGAATCACAGGTGCAATTTTCCTTACGTAATAATATAAGAGAAAGGCCTAGAGATTTTTTTTTTTTTTTTTTTTGTATTTGAGATTTTATGTTTTTGGTTAATTTGTGCTCAGGTACAAAACTCAAGTACAAGCCTGGAATAGTGATGGGTGGGAGGAATTTAGTGCATGACTGCGGAGTGAGTAGATCCATTGGATATTTCTTGGAGCCATTGATTGTACTGGGTTTGTTTGGGAAGAAACCCCTTACAATTAGACTCAAAGGTACGATCTTTGATTGCTAATTTATTATTTTTATGAGTGACAATTAGTAATTTAAGCAGTTAATTTGATGACAAATATTTTTAAGCTACTTCAATACGAAATACTTTTGATGAATAAAAAGTTAAAAGCTAGGATTTGGGAAAATATATTAGCGGTTATATTCAGGGCAGCAGAAAATATGCTTACAAAGAAATAATTTATTACATTTAAATGTGTTAGTAGATCATAGGTAAGATCTATCTGCAGAAGGAACTTATTATGTTTTAGATGTGTGTTAAAAGGTCATACTTGTATATGCTGATTTATCAGCTAATTGAAAATTTTCTGGTATTATGTATCTGTATTGCTATGTACATTGGTGTATATTTGCCAAATCTATTGAATAAAACTTGTGGAGCTATCCATTCCTATGTAGCGATATGTTGATCGAGATGGAAAAATAATCGATGGATGCCATGCTTTGGCTTATCTAATTTTGAGCCAATTTCAGTTTATCTTTTACATTTTAATAGTTGGCTGAATGCATACCAATCTCATCAAACTTAATGGAGTACCAGGTTAAGCTAATGACACTTGTTTATGAGTTACATGCTTTGCACCAATATCAGATTGCAGCGTGGTTTGAGAAATATAAAGCTTTTCTGCTGCAACTAATTTCCAGGAGGAAACTGGATATTCTGAAACCTTTTTGAGCCTCCACTTTCTTATATCTGTGTTAATTGGATCCATTTTGTTAGGATCAAGTAACCATGTCTAGCACTCAACACTTGGACTGACTTATGTTATGGTATTCTGGTAATTTATTTTAGGTGTAAAATCTAGAATTTTGGTAAACCTGGTATCTGTATGAACATCCATGTCCAGGTACTCTGCGCTAGTCCATCTAAGATAGGCTTATATAAACATACTGTGATCCTAGAAATCGGGCATATCCCATTTGGTGTAGATCTAGGTTGGACTCGTGGATTGACAAAAATTTAGGAATCATGGCTTTTAATAAAAAATATGTACGAACCATGCATAAATTTAGTAAAGTTAATTTTGGGATGTTATGAGGATTTGTTCCATGGAAGAATGCTTGCTATAACTTAAAAATGACATTAGTGGAGACACATCTTGTTACCTTTTTGTAAGCATTATCCACGGTTTAATTCCTGGCTGTTTCATTTACCTGAGAGTTATGTCCGTCTAGGCAGTATTGGACACAAATGAGGTCAAATCAAGTATCTTCTTTTGTCCAACATGAACATGGGTATGACGTTGATATGGTGTCCAATGTTTTGGAGTTGCATAAAAGAGAAAAATACGAATAAGAATTATGCATTTATTGTTTGTTTACTTAAGCTAGCATGACTTTTGTTAAACTTGTGTGAACGAAGACAAGACATTACAAAAATATATATTTCAGTCACAAAATATATAGTTTGGCAAAGTTGATAAAAGTTGTGGTTTTCATGAATTGTGTGGTTAAAATTGATTGTTGACTTAGACCTCAACTTTTTGGTAATTCTTTTAGCTATCCCAATTGAGCACTAAACTAGATTTGATTTGTTCGAATGTGAACTGAACCAAAACAAACTTGAATCTAAAATCCAATAAAAATTCCCGTTGAATGCCTATTTGAAGTGAACTTGGTTGAAATTACCAAAATCTAAATTGCGGATAAAATTTCTGTATTGAAAAGCAAATCAAAATAATTCAAAAAAAAAAAAAAAAAAAACACAAAAATAAACAAATACTGAAAAAAAAACACCAAAATCAACAAATACTGATCTGTGCTCTTTGACTAGCAGTGCACCTTTCTTTCGTATACACCATTGCTTTTTTGCATCTTGTGTTGGGTTGTAAATGTTTAGAAAAAGGAGTGATCCAGAGTTTCCGGAGTCTCTAATCTTGAGTCAATGGTCTCAAATTACACGACAAGCTCTATAACATTGGCAAGTAGGAAAGCTATAAAATTTTATATTGATCTGGTTTTTAGTTCAGTTCTGCCCGACTCTTCAATTACTGAAACTGAACTGAAAACCAATATTTACAAAACCAATAGCTCACTGGATTTGAGATAATGATCTTTTGCTAATTCAGTTCAGTTTAAATAGATTTTTGTTCAGAATCCTAATTATCCGTGTGCTACAGCTACCTCTATGCGTTCTTTGCATATAGTTATATAACAGAGTGCTCGTTGCAACCTTGACCGTTGCTATTTGAACTGCCTGCTCCTTTCAGGTATTACAAATGATTCCAAGGACCCCTCAGTTGACACATTTAAATCTGCCACTTTACCCATGTTGAAGCGGTTTGGAGTACCTCCAGAAGGACTCGAACTGAAAATTGAAAGTCGAGGTGTCCCTCCCCATGGTGGTGGAGAAATTATCCTGTCTATTCCCGTTGTCCAAGATAGTCTAAAGGTAAGTACTCTCACATTATTATTTTTCCTCCCATTCTCCGTGAGTTTGTGTGTTTCAATTGTCGTCATTTTATATCTTTTTATAACGTGCAGGCTATCTCCTGGATCGATGAAGGCATGGTGAAGAGGATTAGAGGGATCAGTTTCTCAACCAGAGTATCGGTACGGTTTGAGAGATCCATCATAGATGCTGCTCGTGGTATTTTAAATCGTTTGCTTCCAGATGTATACATATTTACTGATCATAGAGCTGGCCCACAAGCTGGAAAGTATGTTCATGTTTCGAGTTGATAATGCAGTGACCGTTTAAATGTAGAAACTGTCTCCATTGAAATGATTTTATTTCAATGCTAATCAGAATTTCTCCCATTTATCTCTGATTGCTACTGCAGGTCTCCTGGTTATGGAATTACACTGGTTGCTGAAACCACATCAGGTTGCTTTATGTCTTCTGACACTGCTATTTCCAATGCCTTGGTAAAGGAAGATGATGTAATTGAGGACGAGGAGAATAAAGAATTTAGCCCACCGGAGGATGTTGGAGAGCAAATCGCCTCTATGCTACTCGGCGAGATTGAACAAGGCGGGGTGGTTGATTCGACTCATCAGGTTTGTTTATAAAACTTGCTATTCCTTAATGTAGTTAACTTTGATGAGTCTGTTGTCTATTGGATTGTTGGGATTGATTATATATCAGGCACTGGTCAAGTTTATCTTGTTATGCAAAAACGTGATTGCTTTTATATCTTGTGGGTGTATCCTGAGGTGCTTAAATTAAAAAAAATTAGCTTTGCCCAGAATATGGAACTCATATTTTACTACTTTCACATCCAAGTTTACTAAAATGACACTAATATAACATGATTACAGGATTCTGAATAATGTTTTTCACAATCCATATCCTTAAGCATAAACGAGGTGGGTGCTTTCTGAATTTATGTTGTAACATAAGGTAGTATTTTCCCTTTTTGTTGCAGGGTTTGTTGTTTATTCTCTGTGCACTATGTTCCCAAGATGTTTCAAAGGTTCGCGTTGGACAGCTTACACCATATGGAATTGAAGTGCTTAGGCACATCAGAGATTTTCTAGGCGTTAAGTTTGTTATTAAGCCTGATCCATCAACAAGGACAGTGATTCTTAAATGTGTTGGATGTGGATTGAAGAATTTGTCAAGAAAAGTTTCGTGAGAGCTATCGAATTTTTGGGTATTTCCTTGCCTTGAGACTGGCATGTAAGGCATTCAACCTCGTTGCACCATATGTGCTTTAGAGGGATGCTGGAGATTGCATTGTCCAGCATCTCACTATATTTTTATGGGCATGATTAATTTTTTTAAAAAAAATTTTAAATAGTAAGCAATATGTAAGAATGAACTCCCAATTTTGTCTAATTTGATCTAAACAAATACTGGATTTGTGGGCCGACAAATTGGCAATGTAGTTTTCACTGTTGAAGCACGTAACTTTTCTTGTTCGTAGCATCTTTCGAATGCTTATATGGATGTTACATTTGGTGAAATATACTTGTATTATTTTGCTGCTCAATAGGAGCAAGATAGGAAATGATTATTTAGGAGAAAGCTATTCAAATTGAATAATGCCCTTAGTATAGGACCCTATTCAATGAGGGGTCCCTCATTGTAGAGGCAGGTCGGTGGGTCCGACCTGTATTAAAAAAAAAAAAAAATTGCATGGGCCCACTGTTGTGTCTGTCTCGTATAGGCTTTGCTTGTACGTGAAGCACGTTTGATTCAAATTCAGCATATGATGGTCTCATGTCTAATCATAGATTTCGATTCAAGCGTAGGAGACAGTCTTTTTTATCGATGACATGTGGCAGCATTTGATTGAATGATTTCTAGCTAATTCTGTAATTTTGTTCACGTTTTATTCAAACTTAACCCGTAAGTATTTTACTAGTAAAGGGAAAAACCTCACAAGTGACCACATGAAGCTAATCAATATATTTGAGCGTAGTAAGCACGTGCGTTGTATGTCTTATGTGCAGAATGAATGATATACGTAATATTTTTAAAGTAAGGCAATTGATAATGTTAAAAGAAAATATTAAATTGTTAAAGAATATACATATAAATAAAAGTTTTATGAAAATTACGTATATAAGGTGAAAATGTTGAATAAATTAAAATGAAATCTAATGATTTGTTTGTGCTATACTTTGATTGGACCCCTATTTTCAACTATTACGATGACATCGATCAATTCTGTGGTACAGACAGACACGAAGAAAAATTAAATTAAAAAATGTATATTTGATTGTGTTTAAAATGTTTATATATAAGTAAACTAAAGCTACGTAAATAATTTTTAAATTAAAAAATTACTTATTTTCTCTGTACCATAAACTTTTTTACTCAAAAAATAAAAGTCAATAAGTATCATACCTAAACATATTTAGAAACAAAAAGTTACATATTAATCATGCTCGTCAAATTTTATCCATAGCATTTATTTTAAATTAGAAACCAAAGTTGCATTCAAAATAGATATCGAAGTGAAAAATTTTAAACAAAAGTTTCCTTTTCTTTTGAATGGGATTAATACAAATGGAGGAATAAAAATTCTCCATTTAAATGTACCAAGATAAAAAAAAAAAAAATTCTTTATAAATATATCTAATAAGTAACAGGATTATCATCATTTTTATGCTTATACAAAAATGAACATGCAATAATAAATACCCGATACGATATTAACTATTTTTTAAAACGCATAATATTAATTTTTATTGATGTTTAAAAAATTGGATTTAGTGAAAATGTGTATTTGAGATGCAAAGCTTGTATTTAGTGTGTATGGGAAGTGTAAGTAGCTCCTAATTATTACGAGCAATTAGTAAGGTTTTTAAGATTGATGGATAATTTTTTCCATCATCGATTCTGTTGACCCCAAAAAGTGCGCCAACAGATGCCGGTCCCACCCGCGCTTGTGTGGGCGAATGTCCAACACGCTAAGATACGTGGACGGTCTAAAACGAGCGGTTCAAAGGGCGTGGGAGTAGCCCAACGACGTGGGACGGTGACGTTCGGAATCCGGCGGGTTGTTCGTAATCCGATTGTACAATAATTACCAACCGGTGTTCATAAATGTATATGTAAATGTGTATAAATTCGATTTGTTTATTGCAAGTAAAACGAGAGAGAGTTGAGTAAATGTAGTTCTTTGTATTGATTCTTGCATTAGTCTTTTGATATCACACAAGGAAGTATTTATAGTAGTACATATGAAATGGGAGCCCTTGGATGAAGTGGCACGTGATCTCATCTCTTTAGTTCAAACATCTTTTCCTAGGTATGAGGCTTGACTTGCTAGCTTACGGTGCATTTATTGCTTGCGCAGGGCCTCCATGCTAGTGACAAGACTTAACCTTCATTCTTATGACAAACGTTCCATCAATCATTCGAATAAGATCTGTGCAGGCGATCTCTTGGGAGAAGTGACCATGGAGGATGTTTCTTTGTGGTTCAGAGGCTCGCGCATCAGTTTCGGGACTTCGGCCATTTGTCATGATACTTCCACTTGAGGGCCTCAGCTGCTCTCAACAAGTTCCTGTAGCTTGGCTTCGGTTAGTAGGGTTCGGACAAAAGGGAGCCTTGGCAGATGGACTTCGGTTCGAAGCAGTTCGGATGTAGCCCACCTCGACATTGTGTGCACCTCGGCAAGGATGCCACGTGGATCGCCATGAGTGGGCCATCGTCCAGGTAGGTTGCCCAGGTGTGACAATACGCAACAATAGTCCCCCAAGTCCAATTATATTCATTTATGTAATGCGTGGACTTTAATGGAGTAAAAATTGAAAGAATTTTTGAGCCCCAAATAATAGTCCCCCAAGTCCAAGTATAGATATTTATATCATGGTTGGAGTTAGAGAAGTGTTGCTGTGGGTGAGCAATGAAGTAGGCGAGGCGTTGATGTAGTAACCCAAATTTTCATAGAATAAAATTTGATTTATGTATGCTAAGTTTTAATATTTTAAAAGTTTAGAGACTAAAATATATACAAAGTAAAATTGAATTTTATTCAGGTTAAAATATAGATATTGACGGAGCGACAATAAGTATATGAATATTGGTATCGTTGGAAAGCTCGTATTTAATCATGCATGTTAGGCTCGAGAAAAAGTGGATTTGGACTAATGGAGCTTAAATTATTGAGGTCGAAAGATTTAGCCTTAAAATATTATTATGATTATGATTATGATTATTATTTTTTTTAATTTGAGTATCTATTGTATTTAGAGGATTCTCGTGCAAGATTTTTGGTAGGGGTGGGTGAGTGATTGATTTGTTTGTTAGATATAATATAAAAAAAAAAAAAAATTAAAGAGAGAGAGAGAG